AGGTATGAAATAAATTATACAGTCTAGTGAGTAGGTACATTATAAAACAGTATAAGCTCACCGGTCTTGTGACGAAAAAGAACAGTACACATTTCTTATGGAAACTAAGATATAGAAAATTATATAAGTAATGCTGAATAAAATTACTAATCAATAATATTCAATATATATTTTTACATATCAATAATATATACTTCGTTAGTCGTTATCATTACAAAATTCTCTTCACATTCGTCCCACATTCCTTTTTCCACTTAACTCAAAAACTTAACAGAATAATTATATGTTCGATTTTCAATTTTTGATCTAAAAATACCGCCATATTAAAAGCACAGTTTGGAGCTTATAAATATCAAAGTATATAAATAGGTACATCAAAATATTATTGAAGGTATAGATCATAATATATTATAAGGTTCTACTCTATCTCAACTACTATTCATTATTATTATTTTAAATTTATCTTCAAACGAAACATGTGAATTGTGTATGTGGTACCAATTACATTATGAAATTAAATCACATATAATTTATAAATACATATGTACCTAACCTTAAAGTAATCTACGTAACGCCTGGATAATACACATTTTCTATAAATGGGTTATACACTAACTTGGGTCTTTATTATTATATAGATGGGTTTTATAATATTCCTTACGATCAACCTTGAATAAATTATACAAAATAGTGCACTCTGCTTAAGTAGAAGTTCCTAAAATAATAATTTAAGACAATTTATAGAATAATAATAAGTTTGAAAATATGCAAATTATGTTCTACGTTTTTCATTCAGTTTACATTATGTATACTCACAAAATATTTCAAGGTTTGAATGGCATAAGTATAACATAATACTCGATAAAAAAATCAAACGATGGTTTTTTTAAAAATGATATTAGAGCTGTACTGCGTTGGGCCATTAAAATAAATCGTTAAAAACTAATATAATATTGCTCTTAAAAAATAAACTAAAATAATACCCATAAATACACCGGGATATACAGTAATGTAAAAATAAAAAAAAAATTTAATTTTAAGTGGCATGCATTTTATGGCAAAATCTCAACGTACAAAAAGTCAGTAATTTTGTAAAACCAGCTTACAATAAACTATTCACTGCGGTTATACACTCATATCGAGTGGTTGCTTACTGCAACCCACCATGGATCACAATGATTTTTGGTGTTTCATATTATCAATTTCGATTTTAAAATGCATTTATCTAAATTTATTGTCAATTGTAGTTATTAAAGTGATTTCGTAATAGTAAAATAACTTGGTACTATAATATCAAGTCTATTATTCAAAACTAAAATATATTAAAAATTAAAACCATCTGGAATTAAAAATATTATCTATAGTTTGTATAAATTAACTATAATAATACAAAGTTTAGAGTTCAATAATATGATTTGTTTAAATAATATAGATAATTTATTATCTAAACAGCGTTCCACTGTGGTTAATTACCAAAACTTAAAAAGACCATTAAAAATATGAATGACCTATTTAATATTTAATATAGGCATTTGATAATTGGTATGGATAAACCTTGTAAATAAGACGTGAAGTCAGTATTGTGATAGATTAAAAATTGATAGAAATATCGCTTTTTTAGCCACCCAATAAAAAAAATCGGGTGCAGAAAAACACTCGAGAGGTTTTCACTCGTTATCAGATATTATGGTGTTCGTTAAAAAAGTTTGTCAAGGCAGGAGTCTTTAAAATTAAATATTGTATAAATGATTTTTATATATATAATATATCCTTAAAAAATGATCACGCATGCTCATGACGTTTTTAAAACATTTACTGTTAAATTTAATTTCTTCACAGAAAATTATAAAATCGATTTTATCTGGCGAGAAATGAAACTTTGACCCCTGCGTGACCGTGTGACCTAAATTTTAGTATTTGAACATAACAATTGCAGCATAGGAAAAAGTTGTTTTTAAAATTTAGTTGAGTATACGTGATTCTGTGAAATTCCACATTTTTTTATAACAATAAAAGTTAAAACTTTAACATACCAAGTTCAACGAATTACAGTATAAGTGAACGTAAATAGTTCCTTTGTACAAGTCGAAAATATAGTATGTACCTATGTCCTATAATATAGTTATTGATCGAACGAAGTTTTCTATTAGACAAAATCAAAATCGGCAGTAAAAGGTACATTGGTCAAAGTGATTTGTTTTTTTCTTTCGAAAGTACTACCGACACTATATATTATATTGCACGTATAATAATATTATGTAGTCACCGTTGAACATTTCGTGGAGGGGCAAAGAAGAATAACAACTTGAAAACTTTTGAAATGTAAGTTATCATCATATTATTTTCATCGACTTTGCAGAGCACTGCGGATGCGAGTCACCGTTGCGATGTAACGCGAATATATATTATATTATATTGACCGCCGCCGTAGCCTGTAGGACTTTGGAATCCGGCTGGCCGGCAACGAGGTGGTAATAATAAAATATTGTATTATAACAACTCGAGACGCTGTGCGAGCGTGCGTACTTTTTCGTCGGATCCCGTGACCTTAAATCGTCTTTGCCATGATCGAGACCCTTTGTGCGATGATAAACGATGGCGTGCGTCGAAGATCGCGTCCGGAACGAGAGTTGAACTATAAACAAACACACACACACACACACACACACAATATACCTTCTTATCCCTATCGCCACTGCACACGACCTGCGCCGATGGTTGGGCGGCCGGGAAGGATATATGCGAATTACCGAGAAATTTCGCGCACTGTATTATTTACGTCACGTTTCCTTTCCGACTTTTCTAGCGAGCACATCCTCCGCCACCGTTTTATCAATCATTGTCCTTGCCGGGCCAGTCGCCACTGGCCGGCCCTCGGAGGATCCGCTCGTTTCGTTTCCACGGTTCTTCGACGGCTACACACGCCGAGCAGCTGCAGACACCCCTGGAGGGTAAAACATTTTCTTCGGGTCGGTGGGTCGAAATCCACAAACGCCACCGCCGTTTTGTTTGCAACACGAGCTCGGAATATATTTATCCGATCTCACACACTCCTTTCCTCTCCGTCACCACCATTCGTCTTTACCCTGCTTATTGTCCTTTTGTTCGTTTTGATTATGCACACATATATTATATTATACATACGCAAATATATGTGCAGTGTGTGTGTTTTGGTAGAGTGTTTGGATTAATTATCCCGCCGAGTATATTTTCGGTGTGCGGCAATGCGAAGTCATTTCGCTCGAGACAATTTTAACGCACTCCCGGGTCACAGACAGTTTGTGAAAACCACATGGTTTTTAATTTTAATTTTAATTCTCGAATCGGGCTTTATAACCTATCACTATAAAATTAAATATAATAACAGTGTCAGTGGTATAGAATGGCATATACGTTTGTCAATAAATAATTTTGTAAAATCAAGTATATATTTTACTTTATTCTCGGAATGAAAAGGTGGCATACTAAACCAATGTATGATAAATTATATTGTTTAATAATTAAAATAAATAATACAAAAACCACGTACTATTTAAAATATGATCAAAGGATATCGATCAAATCATACATAATATAAAAAAATCACATATTGAGATGAAAAATTGTACATTTAAATATACTTTTATATTCAATGAATATAAAAATATTTTATAAATACCATTTGAACAGCAAATGTCTAGAATTTTTTATGTTATTAAAGTAAGTTTCATTTTAAATACTTTAACTAAATTTAACCTATTTAGAAACGTATTTTATGTTTTTGTAGCAAACACTTATTCATTTAATTTAAAAACAAATCAATTGTGACAATCTAAATAATAACAAATATATATCTCCACTCGAGAAAGAATGGATACCGCAAAAAAAAAAAATTCAACCTAACTATGCTTACTAACACCAATATTATTATTATTTAAAATATCCTTGGTTGACACGTCGACTCTGATCACAATCTTTGTTCGTATACAATAATAAGTCATTGAATTCAAATCGAACACATTCATTGCAGTGACACGTTTGGCACTTGCAGTTCGAAAGAGTGGTTCTCACTTGCTTACATTTTAACTACCTATCATACAAAGAAAGATGAATTCTGATTTCTATAAGAATTTGATATATAAATTCCATAAGAGATGATTTTTACGAAATAAAATCTTGTGCAAGTTTGTTTAAGAGATACGCACTGGCCACTATACACACAATGAAGCATCAACATTCAACATATCTCCGTTGACCCAAGTACAAAGTGTATACACGTGCCAGTATGAAAACAATCAAAACAATACGGTGGATTACAAAAACAACGTGAGGAAATTAAACAAACGGTTTTTGTCCGTTATTGTTTTGACAACTTTAAAAATAATTGTGTCATTAAGTTCATCTTGATGGTTCAGGAATATCATAAGAATATACATTTGAAGATTTGCGAAAAATACTTCACGAGACGCCCAAATATAGTACTAATTATATTACAATTTAATATCATGATAAATCTATGCAATTTGTTACGAGTAACATATTTTTTTATGAAAAAAAAAAATAATAGTAACAATGAACTTAAGTAACTCATTTAATTTGGCCAAATTGTGTAATTAAAATATTTGATATAAGTATGAATTACGCGTAATTCGTTCAACGGAATATTATAATATATTATATTTGTAATCTATAAATTATAATGTATCATGTGGATTATATTATACTTAAAAAAAAAATTAATTTAATAATAAGCTATTTATGAAAAATATTGGAAGTAAGAGTATTTTCATATTAATATACTATTAAAAAATTATAATTTGGTCTAATACGTTTCATGAATGTTAGAAATAAATAATACAGATATTCTATTTTATCACTGTAAGAGTGTAAGCAGTTAGAATTTATTGTTTTTAATACTTTTTGTTTTTTCCACGAATTTCTGTATACAGTCAACTTTTTGTGTAATATGATAATATAATATACTAGCCATATTTCTAAAAACAATGTAATGTGTTATACTAATAAAATATTATTGTTATATCTTACTTGAGTGGTAATGATAACGTGAGAAATTGTAGCCGTACTTTGGTATGAACGGAGCTTGTGGTAATATGGTACTTGCAATAAAGGTTTGTACCATAAATTCCCGGAAACCCTGGGCTAGCCAGCGTACAAGAGTCCTTGTTACAAGAAAAGTCTTGATACAGCCAATCACAAACTGGAAAAAAATCGAATGATATTTTAGTTTTAACAAAAATGACCCGTGAACCTACGTGTAGCCAGATTGCCTATCTCAGTCGCCGTCACTACGTTATATAATACTAATTAATAATAAATATTATAATATGTTAATGACGTTTATCATAAATAATTTGTAAAGTTAATATTAAAAATAAAAAACAGAAAAAAATTATTTGCAGCGTCAAATTATCTGGCTAAATATTTTAATTGACATTAACTGTTATTAACTGGGACTTGACGACAATTTTAATGGCAATTCATTATGTCTAATAATTATATATTTTTTTTTAATTATTCGAAATATTGTTTATAAAATATAAAGTACGTTACATTTCTTGAAATTTTAAACTGGAAATAATGTGATGATTGACTTAAAGCTTTAAATAAAATTCATTATGGAATAGAAAAGGTAGGTTATATTGTGTAATTGTGTTTCTAAAATTCAAAACAGGATAAGCTGTAAGCAGACTACAAATTGATAATACATTTAATAAATTCATTAATAGTAATGAACAATAAATGAAACCTTTTTCTCATTTAATCAATTAAATTTTAATATGGTAGGTACTTATTTCATCGTGTTTTACAAAGTCAAACAGAAAAAAAACATAAAACGTGTAAACAAATGTAAAATATAATTAATTAATTATATTGTTTAAACTAACTACGGGGGAATAAAAGTACACTGTACTAATAAAATTAATAAAATTTGAAGTGTTAAAGGAAAATTAAACAACATAACAGTTGAATACAATTAAAACTATATTGTATAAACTATATATTATATATTATGTATTCAACTTATAATATGTCAAACATATTTTATAATTATTATTACAGATAATTCCCAGAAGATAATATTATTAACTTTGCACAATGCTCTTTGGAGCTTATAAAATAAAATTAATATCGTTCAATTTGGTATAACACTATAATAATGATGTTACTTATTTTTCTTATTATTATTATTACTCGAACATTTTGACTTACTTACCTATTATTTATTAAAGATCTTATGAAAATTTAAAGGTACCTAAAAATAGGTACTTAAAAATAAATGTGAAATTTTAAGTAAAAATATCATCATGCAAATGTAAACTCGACAATAATGTAATTATTATATGATACATGACAAATTATTAAAATTCATTGACATCTTGTTCAATTATTAAAATTTTTTAAAATATTACTCTAGAGTTTCACAATAAAAAAAAATTGATTTTAATTTTAGATACAATAATTAATATGTCAAATATATACCTATATAATGATAAAAGAAACTATAAATAACAATAAAATGTGCATCCCATAAATTTTACAACATGGATATGATTTTCTTTAGAACATTTAAAATAAAACTGACAGATAGTATTGTTTGAATATTTTATACATTGCAGTTCAGACTCATATGTATTACCTACCGGTAAAAATTTAATTATAATAAAGTATGACACAACTAAAATTCAACATTCATATAATATACCTAGATGTATAATTTTAACACGGTGATTCGCCGAGCATGCTGATCCCCATTTTCTTACTTTCATACCTAATGAATTTATTCAAATTTTGTTTTTAAAATTTTTAAATATACTTACATAAAATACATATTTTTTTTAATTCTAAAAACCTTTTGGGCTACTCAAAAAGTGTCAGGAGGAGAACAAACTTCTGTTTTTCAAATGTTCAAATGAAAATACCATTTATACTGTAAATTATATTTTATTAAATAATTTGTATTGACAATTTCAATGTAGCTAATTCGAAATTTGGACAATGGTTTATACTAAGGATAATAGTTTAAGAAATTGGTTTTTACAAAAATATTAAATACATCCAATATAATTGAATGTAGGATTTATTATACTTACTTAAAATTATAAATATTGATGATTAATATTAATTACTAAAATTTTCCAATCACCATAGACTTATAATAGACTCAATATTTTTCAAACCCATTATCATGGGCCTGATCTTTAGTAAACAAAGTCAAAAAACTCTATAATTGCTCGTCAAATATTTTGAAAAACAAAAGTTTGTAGTTCATTTGGTAGTACAAGGTATAATCTTAATTATTTGAAAATATCGTCTTAAAGTATATTGAAAAATTTCAAAACTCAGATTTTGATAAACTGAATTATTGAAAAATAAAATTAGATAAGTATGTTTGGTATGAATCATTCTGTATATTGTATTATTTCTTTATTTTTTAATTTAAATAAAAATAAATTTTAAATGTATAAGACTTAAGTACATCAGTTATTGTATAATAATATATTCACACAATCACACATACATATATAACTGCAGTGATTTACTTAATATGTATAATATTTTTGGCGAGGTAATAGAAACTCCATTATCCCACTACTTAATATCAGTCATACTTAATGAGCCATCCTGTACACGAAAACATTATATTATATGAAAACAGATGTTCAAATCAGAATCACTCTTGGTGTGTATTTTATCGTTTAGCGAAAAATTAATGATTCGAGTAAAATATGAAGGCAATATATCACATTAAATTGCATTTGTGTGTGCCCGTAACATTTCATTGTTATGATATTATCCTGAATAACATTATATGGCTCTATGGTATTTTATCGTTTATATCACAAGGCATTCTTGAAAATTCAATGTTTAGCATATAAAAACAAATTAGACTAACTATGCAGGATTAAAAAAATATTTGTGAATCGTTTTATATGATTTTAAATGTTTGCTATCAGCTGAGCGCATAATGCCAAATAACAGAACAGCATCTGAATGGCATACATACCTATATAATTTTACTCAAACATTTTAAGATTACCATATTTAATTTTACGAACAAGCTCAATTATAACGACGTTTGTCTTTTTGAACAATGCTATTTAACGTGAAACATCAATAGACAACTTTCGGTTGAATAAGGTAAGTACCAAACTGTTTTAATCATACATTCATACTACAATGTGAATTTGAAAAATAAGATAGCATATAACTACAGCAATTACGAAAACAACATACGCTCGCAGTTAGGTACAAATCCTAATCTCGGAACAAGAATTTTTGATTCACAAGTGTGTACGTGCTACACTTTTACAGTTTTACCTACGTTTCAACTCGACATAGGGTAATAAGTACGCTATAGTCTGTATTACCTACATCGTGGGATCACGAGGGAACAGACCCTACGAGACCGAGCAGTTTAATTAAAATGCATGGACTCACCCGTGTGCTCTATCCTTCTGCCTCCTTTGGGCCTGAACGCTAGACCATGAACATTCGTTAGCGAAGTAAAGCTAAAGTATGCCAAAAACTGTGATCTAGACGTGGCTTCTTCAATTCTAGAACGATAAAACAATAATTAGGTGTATTAATAATCTGAAAATTGTTTTCATTATTTATTGTTCTTAGTTTGGTACTCAAAGTTAAACTCTTATCGATGCGATTCATGTTCAACGCCATGGAATTTAATTGTATTAACTATTAAATCATCAAATGTTTTAAAACAATTAATGTTATAATATTTCGACTTTTATCTCCAATGTCTAAGCTTTATTTTTTTAATAAAACTTTGTATTACTTTTTTGATTTAAGGATATAAAACCAGTATATTTTGGTAAAAACGATATTTCACAGCAGTTTTATATGGTACAAATAAAAAAAATATTTTTTGGGTATAAAATTAATACAGCAAATAATATAATATTATAATGTATCATAAAATAATGAGAAAAATATGTTTTATTAATAAGAGAAAAATCCATTTTGTATAATTTTATCTGATGTTAATTTTAATTATATAGGGAATTTTATCGATTTTTTTTATTTTGTTCATTATTATTACCTTTCAATATAAGTAACTATAACTCATGATTGGTTTTAACCGTTAAATTGTGGTGACATCAGTGCTTACTTACAACTCTGTATTGGTTGAAATTTATTCAGTGCCCGTGTAATATCTTTTACCGCTTTCGAAGAGTTCGTTGTGCGTCAGTGCGTTGTCATTAAACATTATCAGTTTCCCGAAAGCGATTGTGAAGCCATGCAGAAATACGTGTGTGACTTTTAAAAAAAAAGTCACGAATATAGCGATGGTACGAAAGCAAAAGCTGCTGTCCACGGACCGGTAAGAACCATATTTACCAATCCAAAACGTCCGAGAGTGATCTATACATCCATCAAGCGCTAGATAGGGAAAAGGGAAATAGTGGAATGATTTTTAAGAGAAATAAAAGCCCTCTGGCCAATGGGCATATCGAAGTATATGCGTTTTAGCAGGACAGCTATACGAGTATACGACGGAATCCATTGGATAAAATATCGTTTCGAGTATACAAAATTCAGACTCTTTGACGATAACAGTGAAGCTATTTGGATTACAGATCGAAGCAAAGCCAGTCTAGGGTTGAGGCCTTTGCCCGGGGGTGAGAGGCCCGCTTGTGTGCGCGTGTCTATAGAAAATTAATGTCAGAGTCTGTCCGTCTGTCTTGCTGTCCGTCCGTCCATCTGTCTCGGACCGTTGGCTGCACACCAAAAACTGACCGCAAAAACCCATCAGTCGGAAATCTGACCCTAATCTCGGTTCACCCTTTTCTCATTAAATATATATATTTTTTCCGAAGATCAATAAAAGGAATTAGAGATTTCTTACTAAGATTTCATCGAAATACAAAAATATACAATCATGATGGTGTTATTAATAACAAACCTTTTTATATATGGCGGTGAAACAATAAGCAATACAGACGCACAGGTGGTGAAGGGAAAACTTTCAAAGGCTTTTCAGCGCACGTCTAAATTTATGGTGTCGTTAATAAAGATAATAATATCACTTTTAATACAACTCAGTTAAAAGAAAATTTCCAGCGTTAATAATTAAACGCATTATACCCGCTTGTCGTTAGGATGAAACGTAATATAATAATACCTATGTTATATATATTTATAAAATTAATTAAAATATATTGTTACTTATACATTTTGAAATAAATCCATTTTTAATCAATTTCAGTTTTTACAACATATTGTTTTGCACGTAGATAGGTACATTAAGTCTAAATATTTTCGATGGATGTATAAGTACCTACCTCTAAACATTATTTGTGTACGAATAATTATTAAAATAAACTTTTAGTTAAAAATTAACATATTTTGTATTAAAAAGTCAGAATATAAAATGTATGCATTTTCTGATATTCAGTCAAAATTTCCAACATTGAGTACTTTCTTATATTTACTATTATTATTCTTCTTATTATTATTATTATTATATGTATCGTAACAAATTATATTTCATGTTATTATTAATAACAATAAAACCGTAGAGTACAGTACATTTGAACACAATGAATTATTATGATGGTCTTTTATACGTACATATTTAAAAGATTATTTATTTAAAATGGAAATAAAAAATATGAAAATTGCATATTTCTATTATGCATTTGGGCCAGTTGCAGGTTCTTTACTCTAATCGGGATCTATAAATAACATTCATATCGTGTATAATGTATAATTTAATAAATACCGTAATATCACAAACTATGTAATAATTAAAATTTAAAATTTGAATATAATATTTTTTGATTCATTAACGTATAAAAAAATATACAATTGGTAGATACTTTTTCTTTTTAGTATCTATTATACTGTTTTTATACTTCTATCCTTTTGTTCATATTGGAAAGCACTACTAGTAATGAAAATGTAAATATAAAAATATTTGTTGATTTATACTTTATAATTTTAAATGTTTTTCTATTATAACATGTGGTTTTTGCAAACAACTTTTGCGCAACCCTTATTTATTTATACTAAACTATTTCTTTTCCGGTAGGTCATATTGTTATTACTTATTAAAATAATCTGTTTTGTTTCAATTTACAAATGTTTTTTCAACATAATGAGTAGTGTAATTACATTAGTTCATTACTGTCATGTTTTAAATTATCTTTTTTTTTACAACTTTTCCATTTAATTTTTTTTTATGGTAGATAATGTTATTTTGTGAATGAACATTAAACAGTATAAAGATTCAGTCAAGTAAAAGGAAATGAGGCGGAAGAAGTATTGTGTTTATTATAGTTATAGCTGTCTAAGGGGGAAGGGTTAAAATGAGGATGAATAAAAACATTCTCGATGAATGAACAATACAAAGCTCTCTATATTTTTATAATATTGTCGTTATAATTATTACACTGTATGATAAATTCTGATTTTTATTTTAATATGGTGTAATAAAATATTATTTAATGAATATTTGTTTTGTATCGATTTAATTTTATTGTTTTGTTTATAATTGTTTGGACGTATATTAAGAAGTAATACATTTACTTTATAAATAACATATTTGTAATTCATAATATTATTATTTACCAATATTAAAATTGTACTTTACTCGGGATGTTTGTATAGTAAAATTATATCCCAAAACCATTATCTCATTTCAATGTGACACCATATTATTTAACTATAGATAACTACTATTAATAACAATTTCTATAGTATAGTGAACAATTTAATTTAAAAAAAAAAATTTCGCTTGAACCGCAAGCATGGTGAGAAGCATTACTTCCTCTCCAGATGGTATTGTACGTGCAGCCTATTTCACAAAGAACAAATTTTAATAATAACTACCTTTTACCGTGATAGTCTTCCTGGTTCACATTATATATTATCATCTCTTTCACGCAGTCATAAACGTACGAAAGGATGAAAACCACTATAAAAGCCGTTCAACCATTTATCCCTTCATTTATCGCACTAGGCGGTAACTAAAATATCTTTTATTTGCACTCAGTTCAGATCTATATTATTTTTATTGAATATATTTATTCACTAAATTTTAAGCCGTAAGAAATGTATATTATATCATTTATATCTCATCTTATCTACTTGCTAGGAAAATCTTATAAAAAATAATTTCAATAAAATGTATAATATTCTTATATAAACGGACACTCTTATATGTTTGATCCTTACCGGAAATTCAATACGGCCGATTCTTGATCTGCAAACATGACGACTGGAGGTGCTAACCGTTCGTTTTGGCCACATATCCGAGGCCCTGTTCCTTGTCCAAAGGAATCCAGTAATTCCAAGTATCCCGATACACAACTAGAAAATTCATATACTTGATAAGATTATAATTGTATATACTTATGTATAATATAATGTTTAGTAATAATAATAATACTTTTTCATAAATAATGAGTATTCTCTCTTAGTTTATAAAATATTTAAATTGTTCTCGTAGAGTGAATACAAATTATTTTAAACTATATTATTCTCACATGAAATAGTTGTGTTTTTTATTTATTACATGAAAGTTTTATTAGGTTTTATATTTAAATAATTCCATTTAAAAGTACATTTTCATAATTTAATGCCAAAAAATGTTATAAACTTACAACTTTGTAAACTTTATAAATGTTTAATTATAGGTACTTAATTATATTTTTTTTTTTACTTAAAATAAGAATATTCTTAAATTTAAGACATTTTTAAAAAATATTACATTTTATGAGACCATAGAAAGAACACGGTTCATTTAAAATTTTACCAGCCCATCATACAAATTATCAACATTGTAAATAATTTTTAATATTTTTTGACAATATTTAATTATTAAATAACAATTAATTATTTTGTTTTTAGCATTTTTATTATATTTACAGTTTATTTGTATGATAAACACATTCAATAAAAATAAACTACTGTAGGCATTGGATTTTTGTCATAACCACTTGTATACGTTCGTTATAAAAATATTTACTATACTATAATTATTTTAACTCGGAGAAAAATGTTTGAAATATTATAACAGTGAACTTTAAAGATCATGACGTATTAGTTATTCATAATGCTATTATGTAGGTAGTTAAAATAGTATAAATAAGACAACTTAATGTTTATATATTTTATAGCCACTATTAAAACTTATTTTAAAAATACTATAAGAAAATATATTACAATAATGAGATGCATTTACAGTTAAAAAAAAAACATTTTGGCCAAAGACAACTAATTCTAATATAAATATTTTTATGTGGGCATCTACGTGTCTTAGATGTCTTTATAAATTCCAAACAATACAAGCCACATCCAATTTGATAGGCTATTATTATTATTAATTTAATCCATTAATAAAACAATATTAGTACCTATCATTGAATATAATATTGTAGAATACATTTTACTCAATGTTATTATTTACGGTTATAATGAAATTGAATACGTACATAAGAACCGCACTTTGTGATATTATGAGAATCATTGATTACTTGGTATGATATTAAAAAAGTTGTGGTCTCCGATGATTATCAACAGATGAACGTTTTCAAATCCTTATCAATACCTATACAGACTGCGTTGACAGTTTAATGGGGTTGTCATTTTCACCCGTTAAGTCGCAACGGGTTGTATCATCTATACAGCATACACGTATAACTGTCGCGCGTATTTTGTCTCCAAACACGACAATATATAAAGGGAAATATATTACATATCCACTTGTCTTTTTATTTTTAATATTTTCCATTGTCAACGGAATTCCCCGTCCGAGTTTTCCATTCATTCACCGTTTATATGTTTTTTATTTCTTTTTATCATCTCCAAACACACTCGATACTTGCGTCATATAATCATACCTAACCACTTTGGCCACAACTGCCGTCGTTGTTGTGTATTTCTAGGGGAGCACAAAAGCAAAAAAGAGGGTTTAAAGGGTTGTTACGAGATTGCACTGCATTTTGATTGCACGTGCTGTGTTCCGTGGTAGAAATGAAAGGACACGCGTAACACTCGTACCTATATAGTATTATACGTATACACAATATTATAATAGTCGCCATGTCTAGTCATATACATTTTTAACGAGTCGCTGTAATTGAAACGTATAAGTCGTAAAAGTATGTAAGTAGCTTTTTTTTTTTTTAAATTAGTTTACTTATACAATTTATAATTAAAAAAATATTATATAATATTATTAGACCCAATGCGATCCTTTGGAAAAATTAAGTAAAGTGTAGACGAGTATACCTGGATTGAATCTCACAGGTCAGGACATTTTCAAAGCCCGAGTGTTAATGTGTAATTACTCTTAAGGTTGATTTGCACCACGTCGAAATTTAAATATAATTAGGATGACTTATTACTGAGAAGTAAATCTGCCCTCCATCGTACTGTTTATAGTTTATACTGTTCATATAGTCAGTGTTAATAGTGTTTATTGCTCGTGATGGTCATATAAGTTCTCCCCGTTACGATCAGCGATGCAGGAATATCATATTTTTAGCGTTTTAATATTCCGAGACGTACGATGTGCCACTTATGGAACATGTAGAACGTATCATGTCGTTGTTACCAAAGGATATAATGTGATATGACGGCGAGACTAGGTTGTATGCGCTTGAGAGCGCGTATATCGACCCCGTTATTCATTTTTTTTTAATGGTTATAATATGACAATATTTCCGGCAATATTATTTTCTTCCCGAACCCAAATTTTAAAATATCCAAGTAATATACATGTTAAGAAGCCAAGAAATGAACAGTAGGTATACTCTTGAACTGTGCGTTTTCTAGTTAGTTATTTTTATTTGTTCTTCCTAACTTATATACGTAGCAGGTACAATTCGATGATAACAGTTACCCAGATACCACTAAGAGAATATTGACTTTCTTAAGTTTGTGGAGATGTTCAAATGTTGAATTTAGGATAACAAATCGTGATAAAGGAAATACAAATCGTTAGGATGTGTTTTGACTTATAATTTACATACTTTGGTACCGGGATAACGGGTCTTATACAGATTTCAGTATTTTGTTTAAATGAATATTGCATATCGAACTTGAATAATTAAAACTGAAAGATAAAAAATAATCTGATGAAAGCATTATAGTGGTTTTTTCCATTAGCTCTCTTTTTAGGAAAGACCCTTTAGTTGTGCTTCTGCTACCATAATCCTAATAATAAATTACTATCGTCAGGTAGCTAAATTATAATGCACACGTACCAATTAAATATTAAGTCATTAACGTTTGTATAATATTGCAATAATTCTGACCATTTAGGGTGAAACTTGAGGTTAGTTTTGGATAAACCTTTTGGTAATAAAAAATAACAAACCGTTTCTCTAGAAAATTGAATATTACCCAACCATACTATAGGTGTGTTATAATATACAACGCTCGTTCATTGCGATTTTGAATAATGTGTTTCCACTAATATTAATCACTATAAATTATTACGATTGGTGCCTATTATTCTGTATTAAAACATCAGCGTGACTGTGTAGCAACCGATAAAATATTTCTGAACTTAAAAATTGAAAATGATTTGCCAACGATTCGCATTGGATACTGTGTTAAGAGGACGCCACACTCGCATATGTTGTCTCCGTCTTAAAATTGTACAACATAGCACAAACTGTTTTTCGAGGGACAACTTTTATGTTTCTGTGTTTGTAGTGTGGCTCCAACGTTTCTGAACATATAGAGTAGAAAATGTTCTATGAAACAGCGTGCCTATATTTCAGATAACATAACTACAGTAAAAGTTATTTGCTTCTAAACATTTTGTTTTTTTTTTTAATTTGCTTATAAAAAATGATTAGATAGTGTAATTTAAAAAAGCACTCTGTTGCACAGATAAAGTTCATTTTTACGTGTTGTGAAAATTTGGTAATTCTACAGCAAATATGATGCGAGAAAAGTTGTCCCGCGCAAAACAGTTTTTGCAATGTTATACATTAGTAAGACGGAGACCACACATGCGGGCGTCGCGTCCTCTTTATATATACTCGTTTTAATAATAGTTGTGTGATAGATCGAAGATGATAATCTAAGTTCGTTGTCCACAAAGTGTATATAATACTATAGATGATTGTTCGATCTATTTACATTCAATCATTTTGATAAAATGTTAACCTCGGCTCAAAAGTGTTGATACTGTATAAATAAGTGATGCAATCGTTTTTGAGACAAAATATGATTTATTTTAATTTTTTTAATTCAAGACGTTTTTCACTTTGACCCTGTCGTTCGCTTCCACGTTTATCACGATAAATAATTCATAGCCTGAAAGTTATATACCATTCTCGCTGTTTGTCCCTGTCCGCTGTTTGGATAAGCAAAACAGCATCACCGACGGCGCTTGTAGATTTTCATTTTCCGAATCGACAGGCGCATAATATAAATTAAAAATACGGAGATAATTAAGTTTTCACGGGAGTTGGCTTCTACCCTTCGGCTATAAAATATATAATACGCATATAATATATCATTATATATATATATACCTATATGTATATTTGAATATATATCTGCATATATATATCGGACATACCGTGAATATTATATATTATATACCTTTATTTATATAAATATATGTATATATACATATTTATATATATGTATATGGGATACATATTATATAATATTCAAGGTACGTCCAAGAGCGGCGAAATCAGAAGGGCGTGTACACCATCGCCTCGTATAAGTAGTCACCGAAAATACTGAAGTTTATTTTGCCAAACGATATTTTCGACGAGCATATTATGAAATGTCACCGTCACGAGTCACAACTTACACTGCAGTGACTCCGCGTACACGTGTACTATAATATTATTGTGCATCTACACGTGCAGTGGATGTCGCATATTGATGTATCATTCAAATTTCATTCAAGCGCGTGATTCATATACAAGACCTGGTTTTATTGGATAAAATACGTACCACACACACACAAGCACACACGTTTTCTAGTTATTACTATACACGTGCACGTTTCAATGATACTAATTGAGGTGGTGAAGCGTCTATTATGTTTATCATCATGGCCATATGAGCTTGCAGGTACATGCATAGATGCGCTGTAAGAGGACTACATGGTAGAGGTCGTGTACAGCACTTTTGAAATTCGATAGAACTGAGGTAAACTTGTAATTATGAACATAAACTATGGAGGTCCTATGACGAGAGTAAGGTAAATTATGTTTTTAATGTGTAAAACAGTTTGACTGCAATGATATAAATCATGTTTTTTTTCAGTTAATTAACAAAATAATGTTTAGCCGTTAACAAAGTATTCATTATGACTGTGTCATATTATACGT